CAACTCTGTTTGGTCTCCTCCTTTGTGGATCGGGGTGACCCTTGCTATTTTGAGTACTGTAGGGAAGGTGGAGGATTCAATGGATTTGTTAAAGAGTGTTGCAATGATTGGTGATAGCACTTGTGACACTTTTTTGTATATAAGGGGTGGTAAGGTATTTAAATCTCCTGCCTTGTTTTTTAGTGCGTTGATAATAAGGGAGACTTCGTATGGGTTAGTCGGAGCTAGGAACAGTGTGTTCGGGTAGTTGCCGGTGAGGTAGTCATTTGGTGGGGTATCTGAGCTTGGGATTTTATTGGCAAGGTTTTGTCCTATAGTGGAGAAGAAATCATTGAGTCTGTTTGCTGTTTCTGTTGGTGGGAGTTGGGGTTCATCTGTTTTTGCTAATTTTATTTCGCTATTTCGTGATATCTTTTTTGTTCCCAGAATTTCTGATAGGGTTTTCCAGGTCTTTTTTATATCACCTCGTAAGTTGGATAATCTGTTCTCATAATACCAGTGAATATACATTAAGAGACATACACTTCTCAGGGTATATACACTCAAATATATACATCTCTCATTGTGTATGAAATGAGAGATATGTATTTCTTTGTAGAATGAGAGATACACATGTCTAAGAGTAGCGATGATGGTTGCTATGTTGTGTGTGAACTCTTGCTAGCTAATAGAGTACTAGGAATAGTATTAATGATCTGGCTAGTAGAAGTAATAACGGTGGCTCTTATATTAGTAGCAGTAGTGACGCTAGTAGTAGTAGTACTAACAGTAGTAGCACTAGTAGTAGTACTAACAGTAGTAGTACTAGTAGTAGTACTAACAGTAGTAGTACTAGTAGTAGTATTAATAATAGCAGTAGTAAATAGCAGTGTTAGCTAATATATGATTAGAAGTGGTGACTGTGGTAGCAGTGCTAGCAGGAGTAGCCAGAGGTGTGGTAAGACAAACTGCAGTAGCAATAATAGCTAGTACTTACAATAGGTAATATTACTAGCAGTAATGTTAACACTAACCATGATAACTCACTGAACGTCGAAAACACATTCATCAGTTGACGAATAAGGCAATCAAACCCAACTCAACAGTTATAGAAGAAGAGTTCAATCCCTTCCAGAAGGGATACACTTCCTTGATGCTCGTGTTTACCTTCTGAGTCGAAAGTATTTGATTCTTAGTCTTTCAATGTGTGTGTGTGTGTGTGTGTGTGTGTGTGTGTGTGTGTGTGTGTGTGTGTGTGTGTGTGTGTGTGTGTGTGGTTGTGTGTGTGTGTGTGTGTGTGTGTGTGTGTGTGTGTGTTGAGGACACACACACACACGTGACTTATCGTCTCCAGCCCTTTTGATGGTCTGATGTAATTAAAATCACTCACCAATATAGAATTTGAAGAGAGCTGTAGGCTACAAGAGCTCCTTCAAACTCTATCTCTCCTCCCAGACTTTCATTTTCAAGTCTGATATTGTATTCAGGCTTATTGGAATGACTGAAGACGGAGGATTGAGCCTTCACCAGTCCTTGTGTTGAATAACCCGGTTACAAGGTCATATTCGGTTTTTACACATGACTAGATAAAGCTCTACACAGAGTCAAACATAACTTGATAAAGCTCTACACAGAGTGAAACAACTTGATAAAGCTCTACACAGGGTGAAACATGACTTAATAAACCTCTACACAGAGTCAAACATGACTTTATAAAGCTCTACACAGAGTGAAACAACTTGATAAAGCTCTACACAGAGTGAAACATAACTTGATAAAGCTCTACACAAAATAAAACATGACTTGATAAAGCTCTACACAGAGTGAAACATAACTTGATAAAGCTCTATGCAGATTAAAACATGACTTGATAAAGCTCTACACAGAGTGAAACGTAATTTGATTAAGCTCCTTCTAGGCTGGCTCTTACCCTGGCTCACTGTTTTTCTAATATAGTTGAAATACATAAATAAAGAGTGCCTTGTTCTCCCCTTGTACTCTCATGTACTCGCTTGTACCTTCCAGTCTCGGGAGACACTGTTGGGTACAGTGACCACGCCTTTGTTTCAGCCAGTTATGATACAAGTTAGTAATTGGATTGTAACAGTTAGGCTGTGTACTTTGACTACGTAATTTTCCCGGCCTGGCCAAGGTAATTAGGGCAACGTGGGAAGTAATTAGGAGATGTTTGTTAGTGCTAATGAAGGAGAGGAGAAAGAGGGGAAAACAGGTAAACAACATGTGTGTGTGTGTGTGTGTGTACTCACCTGTTTGTACTGATCTATACGTGGTTGCAGTGGACAAGTCATAGCTCCTGACCTCAGCGTCTTCGCTAGTTGCTACTAGGTCCACTTTGCTCCAAGAGCCTTATCGTACCTCTTCTTAAAGCTATTGGTTTGGGTGTGTGTGTGCGTGTGTGTGTGTGTGTGTACTCACCTAATTCACCTAATTGTGGTTGCAGGGGTCGAGACTCAGCTCCTGGCCCCGCCTCTTCACTGATCGCTACTGGATCCTCTCTCTCTCTGCTTCCTGAGATTTGTCATACCTCTTCTTAAAACTATGTATGGTTCCTGCCTCCACTACTTCACTTGCTAGGCTATTCCACTTCCTGACAACTCTATGACTGAAGAAATACTTCCTAACGTCCCTGTGACTCGTCTGAGTCTTCAGCTTCCAGTTGTGACCCCTTGTCCCTGTGTCCCCTCTCTGGAACATCCTATCTCTGTCCACCTTGTCTATTCCCAGCGGTATCTTGTATGTCGTTATCATGTCTCCCCTGACCCTTCTGTCCTCCAGTGTCGTCAGTCCGATTTCCCTTAACCTTTCCTCGTACGACATTCCCTTGAGCTCTGGGACTAGCCTTGTTGCAAACCTTTGTACTTTCTCTAACTTTTTGACGTGCTTGACCAGGTGTGGGTTCCAGACTGGTGCTGCATACTCCAGTATGGGCCTAACATACACAGTGTACAGTGTCTTGAACGATTCCTTATTAAGGTATCGGAACGCTATTTTCAGGTTTGCCAGGCGCCCGTATGCTGCAGCGGTTATTTGGTTGATGTGTGCCTCCGGTGATGCGCTCGGTGTTATGGTCACCCCAAGGTCTTTCTCCCTGAGTGAGGTCTGTAGTCTTTGTCCACCTAGCCTATACTCTGTCTGCGGTCTTCTTTGCCCCTCCCCAATCTTCATGACTTTGCATTTGGCTGGATTGAATTCGAGAAGCCAGTTGCTGGACCACATGTCCAGCCTGTCCAGGTCTCTTTGCAGTCCTGCCTCATCCTCGTCCGATTTAATTCTTCTCATCAACTTCACGTCATCTGCGAACACTGACACTTCAGAGTCTATTCCTTCCATCATGTCGTTCACATATATCAAAAATAGCACTGGTCCTAGAACTGACCCCTGTGGGACCCCGCTCGTAACAGGCGCCCACTGTGATACCTCTTCACGTACCATGACTCGTTGCTGCCTCCCTGTCAGGTATTCCCTTATCCATTGCAGTGCCCTCCCTTTTACGTGCGCCTGATCCTCCAGCTTCTGCACTAATCTCTTGTGGGGAACTGTGTCAAAGGCCTTCCTGCAGTCTAGGAAAACGCATTCTACCCACCCCTCTCTCTCGTGTCTTACTTCTGTTACCTTATCATAAAACTCCAGGAGGTTTGTGATACAAGATTTGCCTTCCATGAACCCATGCTGGTTTTCATTTATAATCTTGTTCCTTTCCAGGTGTTCGACCACTCTCCTCCTGATAATCTTCTCCATGACTTTGCACACAATACAAGTCAGAGACACAGGTCTGTAGTTTAGTGCCTCGTTTCTGTTTCCTTTCTTAAATATGGGGACTACATTAGCTGTCTTCCATTTCTCAGGTAGTTGCCCAGTTTCAAGGGATGTGTTGAAGATTGTGGTTAGAGGCATGCACAGCATCTCTGCTCCTTCTCTAAGGACCCATGGGGAGATGTTGTCCGGTCCCATCGCCTTTGAGGTGTCAAGGTCACTTAAGAGCTTCTTCACCTCCTCCTCAGTTGTTCGTATGTCATCCAACACTTGTTGGTATATTCCCTCTTGATGTTCCCTTCTGTGCTGTCTTCCCACAGCCCTTCCTGTCTCTACTGTAAAAACTTCCTTAAATCTCCTGTTCAGCTCCTCACATACCTCCTGATCATTTCTTGTGAGTTCTCCACCTTCTGTCCTTAATCTGATCACCTGGTCTTTGACTGTTGTCTTCCTCCTGATGTGGCTATACAACAGTTTCGGGTCAGTCTTGATTCTCGATGCTATGTCATTTTCATACTGTCGCTGGGCCTCCCTCCTTACCTGTGCGTACTCATTCCTGGCTCTGCGACTGATCTCCCTATTTTCGTGTGTTCTCTGCCTTCTGTACTTTTTCCATTCTCTATTGCACTTTGTTTTTGCCTCCTTACACCGTCGGGTAAACCAGGGGTTCGTTCTGGTCTTCCCGTTGTTACTGTTGCCCTTGGGAATAAACCTTTCCACCGCCTCCTTGCATTTTGTTGTTACATATTCCATCATTTCATTTACTGGCTTTCCTGCCAGTTCTCTGTCCCACTGGACCTCCTGCAGGAAGTTCTTCAACCCTATGTAGTCCCCTCTTTTATAGTGTGTGTGTGTGTGTGTGTGTGTGTGTGTGTGTGTGTGTGTGTGTGTGTGTGTGTGTGTGTGTGTGTGTGTGTGTGTGTGTGTCTGCTTCCATAACAAGAGTTGAATCGTCAATATAACTGAGAGTCTGAGCCGAACTTTGGTCATCAAACAACCCTCGTATATTCCCCAGAAAGATAAATCAACTAACCCTTAAAACAGATTGGGGAGAACTGAACCTTAAAGGAAAGTGCCTTGATGGTGATTAAGGGCTTTTGAATCAAGGAATAGTTGCAGCCAATCCCTTCATTTAATCAAATCTGATTACCTCCCAGACCCCAGGTGCTGGATGTCCTGTACAGGAGTGAGTTAAGGTAGGACTCCGAGATTATTTCCCCGATTATTAATGTAGGATTCTCTGGCAGGTGCAGGATGACAGCCCCTCCTGCTAGTGTAGACACCAGAAGCTGTTACACGACGGAGATGGCGCTGAGAAAGGAAGCAGGAGGCGGTGAAGAAGAAAGCAGGAAGTCAGTTGAATACAAAACTGCTTGTATGAGGCTATATCACTCCTCCAGTAGCCTAACCTCCTACATACTCCTCATCCTCTTCCTCCTTCTCAACATTACCTCCGTCAGGTAAGTTCTCCTATCGACTGAAGATCCCACAGGAATTGTGGCTTCCTTGAATTGTATTCAATCCACAATAGGATTATTCTAGACTTGTTATGAATTTTTAAAGTCACGATACCGTCAGACTTTTTCGGCTTTGTATAGAGGAAAAAATATATAGAGATTTAACCGCTGGAAACACGTAGGAATGTACCGCAATTTTACATATCAAATACATCACACGCTGAATAAAAACCGCAATACAATGACTGCAACAATTCTCAACTAATCCAGAATTTGTTGACTTGTAACGACACTTTCAATCCAGCACGGACCGAAACGTCGTTCAGTGTTTATGAGGCAGTAGCGAAAAGAAATTACTGGTTTAGTCACCCGTTAAAAAAATTAACATAAACATGAGGTTAGTTAACTACCTAAATTAACATATTAACATTTAAAGGTCAGATATATTAACTGCTAACTAACATTTACCTAAGAAGAAATAAAAATTGATTATAATAATTCTGAAAATAAAATCAGGATGAATTAATGCATATGTACACTGAGAAATATACATACACTAAGAGATATACATGTATATCTCTCATTGTGTATATACAATGTTAAGTATATATTTTTTCATTGAATATACACTGGTAAATGTATATCTCTCATGTGTACGAGAGCATATTATTATTATTATTATTATTATTATTATTATTATTATTATTATTATTATTATTATTATATTATTATCGTAATTATTATTATTATTATTATTATTATTATTATTATTATTATTATTATTATCGTTGTTATTATTATTATTATTATTATTATTATTATATTATCGTAATTATTATTATTATTATTATTATTATTATTATTATTATTATTATTATTATCGTTGTTATTATTATTATTATTATTATTATTATTATTATTATTATTATTATTGAACGTGTCAGGGGTGAAGGTACACACACAACAGATAAACGAACGTTCTCTTGCTTTCTCTCTCAATAAGCGGAACTACAAGCGTAGCGTCATTGAACGTGTCACGGGGAACTGATTTAAGTACCTTTGAGCAGTAACTCATTTGGGAGTCGAACGGCCTTTCTCTAATTGTTGCTGGTTCGCATACCGAGGCACTACCGTTCACTGTTTGACAGTGTCGTTCACTGTTGGATACTGCCGTTCATTATTGGATGCTTCTAGTCACTGTTAGAGACTTCCGTTAGTTGTTAGATACTGTCGTTCACTGCTAGATTCCTTCGTTCGTTGCTACCTGTTTCTGTTCACTGCTGGATACTTCTGTTCACTGCTGGATAGTTCTGTTCACTGCTGGATACTTCTGTTCACTGCTGGATACTAATTATAATCAATTAATAACAATAATTATTGTTGTTATCTGCTTGATTGGTTGGCTCATTACTACACGAGGGTCATTAAGGCTGGTTGGTTGGTTAATGGGGTTTAAAGTCTATCTGCTACACGAGGGTCATTAAGACTGGTTGGTTGGTTAATGGGGTTTAAAGTCTATCTACTACACGAGGGTCATTAAGGCTACATGTCACCTGTACACCACCAGTCAAGAAAACTTTAATACCTAAAATACTGATTAATGTAAACTACCAGTGTATATACACTGAGACATACACCTCTCAATGTATATACACTGGGAAACATACGCCTCTCAGTGTATATACACTGAGAGACATACACCTCTCAATGTATATACACTGGGAAACATAAGCCTCTCAGTGTATATACACTGAGAGACATACACCTCTCAATGTATATACACTGGGAAACATAAGCCTCTCAGTGTATATACACTGAGAGACACCTCTCAGAGTACATACCCTGGCCTGGCATTATCATCCACGACCTAACACCATCGTTCACTCCCTGTAATCATCGTTCTATGACCCGCCAATATTGTTCACAGTCAGTGAGGTGGAAACGAACTATAGAGACACAGTGTGAGAGGGAAAAAAATCAATCCAATAAAAGAAATGATTTCGTCATTACGCTGATTGATTTTGCAATTTTGAGTTGATTACTGTGTTGCAAATGACACAATAACACATAAAATGGCGGCAAGTCTACCCAATGAAAGCAGATTTTTTTTGGCTGGACAGTATTTTTTAATTGCGTGTTTTTAGTGTGGGTTAAATTAATAACTTGAGCCAGAGGAAAGCAATTAACTGAGAGGTAATGTTAAAGTTGATAAGTTTTGAAGTTAGTGGTTATTAAGTTATGAAGTTTGCAGTTATTTACTCTGAAGTATGTTGTTATTTTAATATTTTGTTTACGAAAGAGACATATCTGCCAGGGTATATATATTAATTATATATATATATATATTATATATATATATATATATATATATATATATAAAATATATATATATATATATATATATATATAATATATATATATATATATGCAATAAGATCACAGTAAACAGGTGATTTCAGAATATGCAAAACAACCACTCTGAAAGAATAGAGAAAT